GGATTATTTTCTTTATTCTTTTTTTAAAGATAGATTTTTTTTTATAGCAGTTTATGTTCACAGCAAACTTGAATGGAAGGTACAGAGAGTTTCCAAATACTTCCTGGCCCCACATACAGACAGCCTTCCTCACTATTAACAGCCACACTGGGTACATTTGTTACAATCGATGAACCTCCATTGACATGTCATAGTCACCCAAAGTCCATAGTCTACTTGGGTTCATTCTTGGTGCTGTCCGTTCTATGGATTTTGATGAATATATAATGACATGTATCACCATTATAGCAACAGACACAATAGTTTCACTGCCCTAAAAATCCTCTGAGCTCCACCAACTCACCGTTCTCTCCTCGCTAGGCCCTGGCAACCATGGATCCCTCTGCCTGCATAGTTCTGCCTTTTCCAGAATGTCATACAGTTGCAATAATACAGTATGGAACCTCTTGAGATTGTCTTCTTTCACTTAGTAACTCACATTTAAGATTCCTCAATGTCTTTTCATGGCATGATAGCTCATTCCTTTTTAGTGCTGAATAATATTCCATTATCTGGCTTTACCTTAATTTATCCATTCACCTACTGAAGGGACATCTTGGTTGCTTTCAAATTTTGGCAGTTACGAATAAAGCTGCTACAAACATCTATGTGCAGGTTTTGGTGTGGACATAAGTTTTAAACTCCTCTGGGTAAACACAAAGGAGTGGGATTGCTGGATCATATATGGTAGAGTGGATTTAGTTTTGAAGAAACTGCCAAACTGTTTCCATGGTGGCTGTACCATTGTGCTGTCCTTTATACTTTTTTTCACTTAACATTTTTAATGTTAAAATTTTTACCTGGAAATACCTCCATGGTCTGGCCTGGCCTCTTCAAATAGTTTGCCTAGGATTCAATGTGACTTTTAATCTAAAGACAATTTTTCAGGTGGACAATTTATTTCTTTAATGATTGTTTCTCCATGGGCTCTGTTCTCTACTTCTGGAATGTCGATTATATAGGTATACAGTTGAGCCTTGGACAACACAGGTGTGAACTGTGTGGGTCCACTTACTCACAGATATTTTTCAATACTAAATACTGCAGTACTACACGAGGTACTACACGATCCGTGGTTGGTTGAATTACAGATGCAGAATCCCGGAACCAAGGGCCAGTTGTAAAGTTACAGGGGATTTTCAACTGCGTGGGGGCGGCCCCCCTAACCCCTACATTGTTTATGGATCAACTGTATTTGATTTCCTGGGCCTTTCTTTTTTATCTCTCTTTTCTTTCAGAGTTATGGGGAGGGTTCTCAAAGCAGTCTATCTTGATTTGGTTTTTGATGTGAAAGTAAATTTCCTGTTTTGTATATTTTCCCAAATTCACATATGGATTAACCCTTTGAATATTACTTAGAATATAAATTCGGAAATTTTACTAAGTCTCTGTTTTTAAGATTCTAGCAACCTTAGTAATGAGGACACAATACCTTTAAATCTTTTTTCATATATGTAATCTTTTTTCTCTATTTGCTCACTTTGTAGAGGGACCTACCCAGATCTCTGTGTGTTTGGGATTGGAATTTGAAATGGTTCTAGAAAAGATTATGCAGATTATTTTCAAGCGTATTGGTTCTGGGCAATGGAGAAAGAAAGAAAAAAAAAAGCCTGATTGTTTGTGGCTTAGTTTTCTATGTGAGGGTGTCCAGTTGGCCATGATTAGTGCAGGGAGGGCTACTGAAGAGAGAAGTTAGCCGCTGTGCTAGGCAACTTCTTTCCAGTATTTACGGAGACAGCCCAAGGTTAGCTGGAGGAGCGTCTCCTTTCTCTAGCTGGCATGAGTGTACAGGTTAGGAACCTGCTGGCCAATGTCCCTGCTTTTCTGTGCAAATCAGAGGTGGGCTAAATCTTGGCCAAATGCTCTGCAAGCAGACACTTGTGTAGTTCCCAACATCACCCAGCCTGTTTCCTACTTGTGCCGACCTCATCCTAATGCCTAGTCCTGGCTGTCTGTCGTGGGGCTTAGGGTGGCTCTGCTGGGGCGACCCCTCCGTTGCCTCCCAGGGATGCTCTCCCTTAGTCACCCATCGGTCTGGTTCCATCTGCACTGTATCTTGTAGAAATTCCTTGAAGTTTCTGGACCAGGATTTGGAACAGATGGGTTTAAATTATGATCTATAAGAAAAGATCAGGAAACTGTAACTTTTGACAGGTCAGAATACAAAACTGATTTATTTACAGTGTCACCGCTAGGTGGTGCCACCAATTAGGGAAAACAATGGTTGCTGTCTCTGGACAGCGAAAAACCACTTGCAGCTAATACAAGCATAAGTCTGTGAGCTTTTAGGGAACTTGTGTGCACTTGTGCATAAGTATGCACACATGCAATTCTTGGTGCAGGAGTTTTCTTGCAGTGCAATGTTGGTTTTCAAGTGTATGCATGCGTATAAGTACAGCCAGAGGTCTGTGCACCCTGGAAAGTATGGACATGAAGCTAATGATATGAACTCCAAAAGGCTGACCCATCAGCTGGATGTATGGTCTGGAACTCCTGCCCCTCAGCTCAGAAGCCTGCTTGTGGAATGGGCAGAAGCCCTGACCCTATGGGAGAAATGCAACAACAACGCTACAGGACAGGGAATCAGCCTTTTCTGAGGCAGGGAATCCCTAGACACAGCCACCCATCATCCTCTAAAGTCATCAGAGCTGCAAGCCCTCAAAGAAGAGCTTGGTCACTTGTGAAGTCCTGGAAGACTGTGGCCTCAACATCTGCCCCTGAGTGCCCAAAGCATCAGATCAAATGCCCACCTTGGGATTCCATCTTCTATCCAGATGGGGAGTGACCCTGCAGTTAAGAAAATAACCTTGTGGTAGGGGGTGGGGGATGGAGGTGTAGCTCAGTGGTAGAATGCATGCTTAGCATGCATGAGATCCTGGGTTCAATCCCCAGTACCTCTATTCAAAAAATAAATTTAAAAAATAAAAATTAAGAAATTAATGAAAAAGAAAGAAAATAATGTGCACTGTGGGGAGGTGGGGGTTCTCCCCCAAATCCCTGCCCCGCTAGAGTCCTCCACATTCCCACATCCTTTCACTGTTACTTGTGTGAATGGTCCCCAGCTGATATCAAACACTCACTCTGGGTGCCGCCTCACTGTAGAAATCATGCTGTATTGATGACCTGCTGTACAAAGCTGAGGCAGCTTAGGCAAGTTCCTGCCCTTCTCTGGCCTCAGTTTCTCCAACTCGCAGCGAGGGCTGGGTCTGGGTGATTCCAAAAGGCCCTTTGTGCTGATAGGAGTTCTGCATGGCTGCCGGTTACTAGGGCCCTGCAGTGGCTGGTGTGGGAGCGGGAGTTTCCTTGGATGAGCTCCGAAGGAGAAAGTTCTCTGTTTGCCCTCTTCCTCCTCCTCCTTCTAGCAGACTTCCCTCCTTAACACGCCCCCAGGGAAGGCAGCTGGGCTCCTAGGGCTCCAGAAGCTATAGGAGGGAGTTCTCACTTGAGCGTCATTACAAGTTCAAGTGGCTTCTTCCCTCCACCCTCAATCCCCAGGGTGAAGGCCCCATGACTCATTAGACCTGCTGTCCCCTGAGCCCAATTTGGTTGAAGGGAAAGTTTGGCCTTTTCATCCAGAGGAGATTTTCCCTAAGAGGGCTCATCTTGAATTGAGCTCACAGAGGGAGAGTCCTAGAAGTCACCTCTTGCCCTAGCACTTTTCCAGAGGAGGAAACAGACTGCAGGGGAGGAACTTTGCCAAGGTCACACAGAGGTGGGCTGCTGGAAACATCCCTGTGGGTGGCAAGAGGAAAAGCAGAGGAAGGGGCAGGGTAGGGGCTCACTGTGGAGGCACCCCACCACCCTGGGCATCCGTAGAATCAGACGCAGAGCTGGGGCTCTGGGGAGGCCCTGCAGCGTGTGCGGAAGAGCTGTGAGAACTGCCCAACAGAAAGGGCTGCCCAGGGAGATAGTGGGCGCCCGTCCCTGCATGTGTGGGTGGGATGGATAACTGCTTGTCTAGGATGAACAGAGGATTCAGGACCAGGAGTGGGAGAGGGGGGTCTGTGACTGCTCAAGTCCTGCCCACTCTGTAAATTCTCCACCAGGCGGGAATGGCATGTCACCACTGCTGGGCAGGGAGGGTGGGACAGAGAAAGGAGCCTTCCGTTTATGGCCAGTTGAGCCTGCTGACTGGGAGTCAGGAGGAGGCCCCAGTCCCGACCTCTCTGACCTCAGCGGCCCCCTTCCTGCCTCCTGCAGCCCTGGGCTCACACCCAGACCATCTTCCTCCCAGACCCGACAGGAATGAGGAGCCAGAGACAGTTGTTCAGCCTCCCTGGATGATAAAAATCTGCTGGCAGGGCCTGCCCGAGCTCCTGAAGTGCAGGATGGTTTGCTCAACAGAAACTGACTTGGAGCCGGAGGCCTCTTTGCACTGCAGGACAGGGAGCCACAGACTCGCAGATGACCAAGTCTCCCAAGTCTCCTCGCCCAAACCCCACTGCAATATCGCTGATGCCAAACAGGTGTCAGGAACTGGTTTAAGTGCTTGATAAATCTTAACTCCTCAGAAAACCCTATGAGGAAACATACTTGTACTAGCTATTTTACAGATAAGGAAACTGAGGCACTGAGAGCTTAGGAAACTTGTGCCCAGTCACAGGGCTAGTGAGTCATGTGGTTCTGTTACAGCAAAGTGTCACAGCAGAGTGTTACAGCAACCTGGATCCTGGCGAGACACCAAGCGACACTCAGAAGGTTGGAGAACTCAGGTTTATTATGCTGGTGGGCCCAGAGGAGTTAACACTCCAAGTTCTGGACCCCGTCTATAGGTTTACACAGGCTTTTATAGGCTACCAGTCAAGACCTTGCAACATTTTGCAACATCATATGCAAATAAGGTGTTAGAAATGGACCGATCAGGAGTGAGCTTTGGGAACCAATAGAATCTTAAGGGTAAGTTTCACCCTCTTAGAAGCAAGCAGTTTTACAGAAACACTAAAGTGAGATAATGCTGCCAGGCCAGGGAAATGGTTGGGGCCGGTGGGAAAGTAGTGGCCCTGCCTGGGGGTCCTGCCAGTCTTTTCATGGGGCTTCCCACCTCAGTTCTAGAACCCACATTCTCAATTGCTACTCTGTACTGTCTCTGAAATAGGAGGGAGCTGAGGCCCAGGGTGGGGAAGGGGCTGGCCTAGTGACTTGGCTAGGTGGCAGGGATGGGGGCCCTAGACCTCTTATCTCCAGCCTCAGGGCTCTCCCTGCTCGGCCCCTCCTGACAGCTCCTCTGTCCCCACCCAGCCTTGCTGTGGGCCTCCCAGAGCTAATAGTCTCCTGGCCTCCCCTTGGCTGGCGGGTCCAGCTCAGAGAGGCTGTGCCCACATTCCCTGGCCACTCTCCAGCCCACAGGAGCTGAGAAAACAAAGTCCAGCGACTGTGAGGGCTGAGCCGAGGCCGCCGGAGGGGAGGAAGCAGCAAGGAGCCACCGAGCGGAGGGCCCGGTCCAGCTCCCAGATGCTCGGCCTCCTGGGGAGCACAACCCTCGTGGGCTTGATCACAGGCGCTGCTGTGGCTGCTCTGCTGCTGCTGCTGCTGCTGGCCACCTGCTTGTCCTGCAGACGGGAGGAGCATGACGTGGAGAGGAACCGTCCTGTGAGGAGAAACCGAGTCAGGTGGGCCCAATCTTGGGTCTCCCGAGGTCGGGGTCACCTAGGCCACTTGTACCATTCCCGTCATCCCAGACGTGGGACTCACATGTCCCATGCGGGCCTCCACCACCACCACCACCAGACCTACCACCATGCCCACCACCACGCCCACCGAGGCCGCCGCTGATGCCTGTGAACGACAGCTGCTGCCTGTCCCACCATCACCAGGACAAGTGGACCCCAAAGTTCCCGTGCAGAAGGGTGCCTCTCCGGTGAACACCGGGGTCTGCTTGGACTTCATTTGCATACTCTGCCCCAGTGTACGATGGGTGGTCCTTTGGGGTGGACACCACCTTGTGACTGTAACTCTCACTGGACACTGGAAGTGACTCCCTGTCCAGTGCTCTGGTGTGTACAGATGCACAGAAGATGCACCTTGCTCTCTCCAAATTCTTAGGCCTCTGGCCGGGCCAGAAGCTGGGAGGGGCCCTGGCAATGCCCTCTCATTTACAGAAGGTGGTATGAGGCTGCAGTCAATTCAATGGTGTCTTAATATAAGAGAATAAAAACCACAAAGAGGCTTTTGTGAAGAGGCTCTTGATTGTAACTCAAGCGGGAGGGAGAGAGTGGCCAGGCCTGCGTCTGCATTGCCCTGGACCTTCCTCTCTGGTAGGAAGTAAGTGCCTGGTGAAAGCTGTGTGTAGGGGAGACTGGGTGACTCTGCAGGGCTCCATGGACAGTAGGTGAGATGCCGTAGGGCCTGAGACCTGGGAGAGGAGTTAAGGTTTGCATGCAGCCCTGCCCAGAGAGGGCTCTCTATGTACTTGTGGGGCTCTGGGGTCCTGTGAGATGGTCCAGGGGCTCAGAGAGGACAGGGGAGGCCAGCAGGCTGTCCCCCGGCACTCTATCTCCAGTCCTCTTTCCAGCCCATCTCTAGGGCAGACTGAGCGGTGGACCTGCAGTGGCCCTACTCGTGGGCTGTGTTGGATTCACTGTTTCCTTGGTAACTGGGTCAGAGTTTCTCACCCAAGCCTTGAGTCTCCAGCTAGCCTGTCCCCGCCAGTGCCTATGTCTGCGTGGTGGTGTGGTTGAGAGGGAGAATGGGGTGCTGGGTGGCCTTGGTGGAGTGCTTGCCTCCTTGGAGTCTCAGTTTCCTCTTCCTTAAAATGGGATAGATAACAGAAACTTCTTGCCAAAGCCTGGAGACATGTTTCCAAATAGCCTGGAATAGCTGGCAGAATTCCACAGCAAGGATGGAAATCTTGTTCTGGGGCCTTCAGTGAGGAAGGAACTCCTGTGAGCTGGGGTGGGAAGTGAGGGAGGGGCGTGCGGGAAGAGGCTTGGGGGCCAGGCAAGGTGGTGGGGAGGGGCTCGGGAACAGGCCAGGAAGTCAAGGGCCTGGTGACTCACTGGAACAGAATGTCCTGTTTCTTTTCTATTTCCCGGTGGATTCTCTGGGAGGGCTGGGGTAGGAGGAGGGTGCCAGGGAGAGGGAGGGACAGCCACTCTAGATTTCTGACTTGGGAAAGTGGACCCTGGGTCTACAGCGCTGTCTGAATCCACCTCCCCTCCCTCATCCCCTGTGGCTTCCCAGCCTGGACTCCAGCCACAGCCCCTCTGAGTCTGCCCAGCACCAGCCCTGGCCCTTCACGAAGCACCTCTACAATGCAACCTCCTTATTGCCCTTGGGGCAAGTCTCTGCCTCTTGGCTGGCCATTCAAGGCCCCCGGTCTGATTCCTTTGGTCCTATTCACACTGCTCCAATCCTCAGGGCCAGAAAACACCCTGAACCTTCCCCTCTCTGTGTCTTTGCCCAAGAAGAATTTGTTGCTCACTCCAATGCGTTTCTGATTTCTTATCATTGTTGTTGTTGTTATTGCTGTTTCTGTTGGCGCACTGACCACACTCTCTTTCCCTAGAGGTTTTTGGCGGAATTGAAAGTCCCCTGCCCTCGTAGATATGAGAACTCTTTGAGGGCTCCCCGCTCCCCCCACATAGAACCAGCCCACACAACAGATGGTCAGGAAGGAGTCTCAGAGCCTCAAGCTCTCTGGAAAAGTAAATGTGGTTGGAATAACCACTGCCAGAAGTTTGGGGCTCAAGGGACACCAAGTAGAGCAGTAAGACCCTGCAAAGATTAGGCCTTTGAGCTCCTGGGGCCTGGCTGAAGGGGCTCGTGCTCCCACCCCAAGTCCCCAGTGTTGGAGGCCTGTGCAGGTCTGTGGCCCGCTGGCCTGGCCCTCTCCTCCCCCTCATCTGTCTGCAGAGCCCCATGTCTGCCTCAGATGGCCTGCCTTTCCTAAGTGTGGCCTCGAGCCTCTAGGGGAACCAGGATGCCTGTCACCACCTTTTTCCCTATTGGTATAAGAGGAATTTACAGGGTGTGGCCTCTTTTCTGGTCAGTTGACAAAGATGGGTGCCGGAAGGACAGATGTGTACCTGAGTAGTAGATATATCTGGGAGCCTCCTTGTGTCTGGGGCTCATGGGCAGGGACTGCCTATCACAGGATTACAAATGTCACAAGAAGAAGAGACGATGCCAGGAAAAAACCCTTAGGATAAGCAGTGGCCCCAGAGCCCTCCGTCTCCTAAATTGAGTAACTGACTTCGGTAATTCAGTCTGAAACCACAGGCCCCACAGTTTGGCTCAGCATGGTTCCTGCCTCCTGTTTCTGGTCCCTGGTTAATACAAATAATTCAAGATGTCCAGCTTCCTGTCACAGCCCCAGCTGGCCCACATGGAGGGGGAGCCCTGAGCCCAGGTTGTCTAGTCATCTTAGAAAAGGAAAGAGTGAGAGTTTGGTAGAGTATCATTCACTCCACAGAGTCACTCTCCCATTCTGTGTGTAGGCAGTTTCCTAAAACTGCTGCTAAAGAAAGTTGACTGGGTTCTTGGAGAAACTGAAAAGTGTGACCTTGGGCTAGCCCTTGGCCCTCTCTGAGCCTTTGCACGCTCATCAGTGAAACCGCAGGATGAGGCAGTTGCTCTGTGGACCTGTGGTACCTGGAGAGAGCACTGAACTAGCAGGGGAGGAAGGGAAGCCCCTCCCTGGCCATTTGGTGCTTTAATTCTCACCACTAACTAGCAATGGGCCGTGGGCAGGTCATTTAACCTCTGTAACTATTTATGTGACATCCTCTGTGAAATGGAGATAATATCACTTCACAGTGTTGCCGGAACCATTACGTGAGCTAATGCCTGGCTGTGTCTAGCACCTGGAATTAGTTTCTCACGACTCCCTTTCTCTGAGTTTGGGTAAAGTGGGGCTCATCACCCAGCCTCCTTTCTGGACAGGGTGGTGGTCTCAGGAAGTGTTGGTTGTGGAAGGGCTGTGACCCAGTGACAGTCAGGATGAAGCCCCTTCTGGCAGACTTACTCAGTGGCCTGGGTCTGGCCCACACCCCATGCTGACCCGGGAAAGGGGAGACCCTGGCAGGGGCAGGGCTGGAGTTGCAGGGAGTGCGTGGGGGTGGGGTGGGGTGGCGTGAGTACAGACACCAAGGGGTCCAGCAGCTGTGCGGGTCCTGGGCCCTCACTCACAATTGGAGGAAGGAATTCAGGAAGTGTCACAGCCGCTTAGACGGCTCAGAACCTCGTCTCAGGCAGGCCCAAGGCTGCAGCACCCAGGGATGAACATGCCATGGCCTGACTCCTGGCCACGGTGTGATATACAGCTGAGCAGTCCCTCAGGGAGCCTGGGGTAAGTTTTCACATCTGTGAGCAGCGGGCAGCAAGGAGGGGGGTTGGAGTGGGGTGGGCTGGGGGCTGGTGCAGAGGAGGGCTTCTCGGGAACCTCGAAACTAAGGAGCCTGCAGCAGTCACTGAAAGGGCTCAGATATCCCGCCCAGAGCATGACCTACCCCATCTAAACAGGGTCGCCCACCCCGTGCAGAAAAGGAGGCCAAGTGAAACGGGCACCTGTGGTGACCTAGCAGTGCTCCCCGCATCTGCCCGGAGCTGGCACTGCCTCTCCCCACCTTCGTCCCTGCCCCCAGCCCCGGGCCAGGGCCTCGGGAGGCGCAGATAGGCTGATCCCAGGACTAGCCCACTATTCCTCCTGGGGAGGAGCCTGGGCTCATCCCGGATCCACAAGAGGGGGAGTAGTTTGTCTTTTGTCTGAGCGATGAACTCTCTTGAAATCCTGAGGCGTCACCAGAGGGCCGGGTTAGCGAGGCTCCCTCTGAGCAAAGTCTTCTGCCCTCTCCTTCCAGCTCCTCCGCGTCCAGAGAGTCTTGAGCTCACGTCTCTCAGGTCAGCACTTCTTCCAGAGCTGCCAGCGGAGTTGCCCACAGCTCTCAGAAGCCTGGCCTAAGGCTTAGAAAATGGTGACAGAGACACTCTGAGGTCGGATAGGGCCATGGGGGGTGCCCAGCGATCCAGCAGGGGCACGAGCCAAGGCCTCAGACCAGTGTCTTCTTAGAAGACCACAGGGAGAGCGGCCAGAGGAGCAAGGGTACTTGCCGTCACCAAGAGACTCCCACCCCACTTCGGATGGGGAGCTAAGCCTCCAAGACACACCCCAGGTTGCTCAGGGGGTCAGCTGCCACGTGGGGCCATGGAATCCGCAGTGATCGGAGTGGTGGCCGTGCTATTCGTGGTCACCGTGGCCATCACCTGCGTCCTTTGCTGCTTCAGCTGTGACTCGAGGGCCCAGGATCTTCAGGGGGGCCCAGGCCGCAGCTTTACAGTGGCCACGTTTCGCCAGGAGGCTTCTCTCTTCACGGGGCCAAGTTGCCACGCCCAGCCAGTGGCGGGTGCCCGGGACTTCTGGACCTTCATGTGAGGCCTAACAGCCCCCAGAATTTGCTCTGCTAGTGGGTCAGACTCACCTGCCCCCACAGCAAGCCTTCCCTGGTGATCTACTCCTCCAAGCGTGGCATTCCTGTCCTTCCCTGCCTTTGTCCGCAGACTTCCTTTCCCATCCCATTCTGGCTTGCCCTGCCCTCCAGCCTGGGAGACCCACAGTGATGAGACCAGGTGGGAGTCAGCTCTGACCCCTGAGAGCTCAGCTGGACTCTACCCACAGGATGGAGCTAAGGAGAGGTCCGGAGAGTGAGTGACCCAGCAGTGTTGGGCAGCGTGGTGGGCCAGCTCTTCTGATCTACATGGTGAACTGAATTACCACTGGACTTTATCGTGAACAGAGTGTTGGAGAACTCAAGCTATCCCAGGATGCCTGTGAAAGTGGTTCTATTGCCACCAGAGGAAGCAGCTCCCTCAAGTGGACAGTTCTACAAACCGCTCCTTATCTGTTCCCCCAGTGAGCCACTCTGCCACTTACACGATCGAGCACATCCTAGGGAGCCCACCCCTGAGATCTGCCCCCCTACCTGGTACCTGAAATCAGCCCTGAAATTCTGAAGCCAGAGGGCTGCGTCCTGGGAACTGGTGATTTATTTTATAATTGAAAATGCATATCCTTTTATGGACCTCCCGAGAACCAGGGTTGGGAAACCACAAAAGGAAACCAAAGAGGAAAAAAAGTCACAGAAAGTACGAAACGTTTTATTAACAGGAAGGCCAGAAAGAAGACTTTGAAACCTATTTTGAACGAGACTTTGTTACTGTTCTTATAGGTCA